TCCCATCTCAGCTCATCACAGCACAGAAAACATGGCACAGTGTGAAGTTCTCTTCCTCCCTTGCCCTACAAGGAATAGTAGGAGCTTAGAGTCAGAAGCATGGAGGACGCATTTGTTGTGTGCTTAAGCTGTGTTGCTGAAGATTTTTTGCTCTGTTTTGCATGTGTCTGTTCTGGGTGGTTTTCCTTGTGTTTTAAAAAAAAAAAGGCATATTTAAAGTTTACTTTACAAAACCTCAGCAAATTAACGCTGATCTTTTCCAGACAATTCCTCAAATGAATGTTCAGCAAATGCCTCCTCACAGCATGCAAAGATTTAGACACGCTAGAACCAGCTCTGCAAAGGATGCTCTCTAACAAGAGGAATTTAAGCACTGATACCAGTTCAATTTGCCGCTCTCTGATTTTAATATAAAAAGAAACACTTTCCGCAAGGGAAGTCTCAGCTTTCATCACCCGAGCCCTAGCACAGACTTTTGCAGGCTAAACTAATTCATAGATAAGCACTATTCCTAAATATTCACTATCTCTTGGCTTACACAGGTTCTGGAGAATGAAAAAACAGGCTGTGCTGACATCTGGTGGCTTTCCCTGTAGCCAGAGATGGTTTATGGCAATAGCTCCTGGGTTTTCACTGGAGTTTTGCATCTCTTATGCAACCTCTCTCCTGTCTCCTTCTAAGACACAAAGCATCATAATAAAAACATTTCTGTTTTCACTGACCAGTGGACAGTGCTGTCCTGTGCGAGTCCTTTTGTAAAGCAACAAAAGATCCTTTGTTGTGCACAACTGGCTACACCATAGAGACAGACTTTTCTTTATTTCAAAGGATATTCCTTCACTAATTTTAAAATGGACATTCACTTCCACAGAAAACACTGCTATTGCATAGCACTAAACCACTAACATTCTGTAAATAAGCAGAGATGGCAGAACAAAGGAAGGGGATGTGGCAGGGAAAAAAACAAAGTGTGTCTGCTTCTCCAACATCGTGGTAAGAAAGTAAATAGCGGGAAAAAAATCAGTGCCTTCTTAACATGAAGAGTGGCAAAATTATCTACTGGTCATATTTGCTCGATTCATTACTCATTTGCAAATCCTTGCCCTGTAGTGCTATGAGAAGGAAATCCTGGAAGGAAGATCTGGTGCCAAGTGGTGCCAGACAGCAAGGCTGAGCTCAGTCCAACAAACTGTTCAATAAGCAGAAGTGTGCAAGTTGCCTTAAGCATTTTTAATGCCTCCAGCCAGCTGCCAGTGCCTCTAAAGCCAAGATCGTATCAGTCAAATGAGACCAAGAATGAGTATCAGATGTTCTGTTTTCTCATTCTAGTTCTTTGAACATTCAAGATTTCTTAGCTCCCAAGGACAGAGCCCACAAATGTCCTGTCATCACTGTGTCAAATGATGCACTGTGACCTGCAAGTTCATTTTTAAGTGAACGATCCATGGGGATGTGCTGAATACTCAGAATGAAAGAGAAACATCACAGCTTACAGCTTATCTCTGGATCAACTCTGAGAACGTTTTCATCAGATAAAGCAATTGCACAACTTTAATGGTGGTGATCTCTGAGGACTCTTCTGTGTCACTGGCAGCATTTCATTCAGCTGTGCCAAGTTCTTAACTCTCGCATCTTCAAGGAGCAACTTGAATATATGCAGACAGAAAACTACACCAAAGCAGCAGCATGCAGAAATATACCAGAGCCAGAAAAAAACCAGCACACATCATACATCCATTTCTGCATTCAATTCTAAAAAATGATTGAAATGCATAACGATACAAAAAAACCATTTTCATACCCTTACTGGTATAAAAATCAGCACTATTCCAGTGGCATATATAAGCCACTAGAGCTGTACATACAAGATTTTCTGTGTCTACTCACTCACAAATACCTCTTATCCCTCCTCATGGTAATTCCTTTCACCATTTCTTCTCCTTTAGCAGCTATTCACCCATGCCTCCTAACCAAAACTCCAATCTCTGAAGCAGTTTTCATTCTCTGAGAAGCATGGTAGTTCCCCAACTCCCAGTTTGACCACTTTTCCCTGCTACATTTCTATAACCAAGGAGAAGATGCCTCTTAGTTCAGCATCCACCCTGGATACTGCTCTTTTTGTTCATAATAAGGGTGGTGAAATGTTCCAAGGATGTCACATAGTGAAATGAATCCTTATTAACCCCACAATGTCAAAGAATAAGAGTAAAATTATACGATCTATCCCACTATACATTGAGCAGAAGTCACCTTTTATCAACAGTTATTGTGAACTAACACTGTTCATGGCCTTCTGCCAGGTTAACAAAGTTTGGTATCAACTATGTGGGTGGTTTCCTTTAATATACAGAGGATTTCATAACAACACATCTCAGACTTCAGTAATTTATTAGCCCATGTTCCCAGATTTCATTCAGTGTACAACAATCTTGGAATCAAACCAATTTTGAAACACGCATTGCTACACCATATCCCAACCAAAGTGTTGGAACAGAATCAATCTTTAAAAGTTCTCTGTTATTATCTATGGTTTCGTGGTGGCTTGAGGGTATTTTGGTTTTGTTTGTTTGTTTGTTTTGTAAAAAGTATTATTAAAAAAAGTAGAAACTCGCTTCAGGAAGAATCCAGATTACAAGTATGGTCATGGACAACATTACAAAAGGCTCTACTGTGCTGCTGCAGAAAGGAGCCAGCAAAGTGCCACTGCAAGGAAGAACAGAGCTCAGAGAGCACTGCTTTAACTCTTCCTTTGGAAAGAGAAACTCATCTAGAGCAACAGACACAATTCTTCATTTGCATTAAGACATTTACAGTTTTCTTGCTGATGTTGTAGAATTGCTCCTTCACTGCAACATGCTCAGTGACACGCTGAACTCCCGTACTGTACAAGCTGTAACTACAGAAAGGACATTGACATTTCTTTCAAACATCAGTTCTTTAAAGAGAAGGGATCACAAAACCAATCCAAATCTGTTTGAGAGGGTTGGAGACCAAATTAGAATTCCCACAACAGAAGCAAAGAGTTTCACTCAGTGAAGAGCTTCACTCAGTGAGCCTGGACATGCTGAAAGCTATCATCGAGATGCCGTGGTAGGACAGTCCAAGACACTGCTTTCTCTGGTATGCCATCTACTTCCCACACAGCTACAGTCAATACTGTAAATCTGTCAGACAAACCTCATTAGGGGAGCAGGGACCAGCAAGAGAAAGAGGCTTGGACTGAAAGATGATGGATGTGTTAAACGTTTTCCATAAATTCATCAGAGCATGCACATCAGCATTTAAATGTCAAGAGAACACAGTAACATAGGTGTGCTTACAAGATAAATACACTATCTCCTTTTTAATAGCAGACCTCTTTCACAGAAGAATAACACTGTTTGAAGCAACACTGTTGGCTAGTGGAAATGCTAAGTCACAGCCTGAACCAGTGATTGAGCACCTGGTGGGAAGGCAGGGCCAACCCAGGGGAACTCAGATGCACGCAATGTACCTGAGTGAGTGGAAGGGGCAGGTCCTGGCTCCATCCCTTCCCAGACATCATTTAAGGGTTGGCAGGGGGAAAGATAAGGACATTTTGTCTGAAGATCCCTGTCTGCTTGAGGACTTTACAGGCCTTGTGAAGGTAAGCAGCTTCTTTCTCTTATTTTCTGTTCCCCCTGCTGTCGTGTCTGAGTGCACTGTCACTTGCTGCGATCTGGGATCTTGTTGCTCTGCTGTCATGTTGCACTTTCCATTGCTTTAATGTAACTAATAGTAGCTACCTGAAAGGTCTCCAGTTTAAGCCACAGAGTTGTCAGGAAGGATGGAGAAAATGAGGTGGGAACAATGCATCAGCCCTACATCTAAAGCAAAAAGAACTTTTATTTAGAAGCTTTGGAAGTCATACATCTGTTTTCACTATCATGCCAATAAAAAATTAACAATCAAGGTTCTAGAAAACTGTAAGTTTACTTCTCTCGAGAGTCTCTAGTGGAAATGGTGCTGTCAGCTCTGACCCAGAACTGAGGGTAGATGTATGGGCCTAAAGCAATTGCACAAGATCTCATTTGATTTAGCAGAACAAAGGCAGAGAGCCAGAATCATTTCTATTTCAGTGAAGAAAGGCTTAAAGACACAGTCCCAACTTGGCAAGCCCCTAGAAAGCAGTTTTGTAACTGTCTTTCTAAACTAGATACATGATTGTTTCTTTCTTCTTGTTCTTAATTTATTGTTCTTAATTTGGTTAATTCCAGGAAAGTCTGGAAATACCAAGAACTACCAGATAGCAACAGAGCATTTGGTGCTTGGAAAGCAGGAAAGAATCAATCCCATCTGTTGTCAGACTAAGCCTCTCCTTGCAAAAATGCAATCACTTGGGTTTTATTCTTAAAACTGAAACCTTGATCCTTGAGACTACTTGTAACAATGCCCAACTCCCATTTCTGCACAGTGAAGCCCTGGCGTAACTCTGGTTTCTACCTTGGATGAGAAGGTATTCTCATAAAGCAGTGTAGTAACAAGCAAGCTTGTTCCTGGAACACAAATGCCTCTAAACAGTTATTTTCTGTTTCAGCATGCTAAGGAGGGCTGGAAGGAAGTATAAAGAAAAGCTTTCACCAGCAGAGAGCCTGAAACACTTGCCAGTCTGCACCATTCAAACAAAAGAACCTAAACAAAGTGAGTGGAGTAAATCTGTTACTTGAAATACAGAGTTTCTCTTGTCAAGCTCTCTGAAACAGTCACAAAAACATCAGTTTTCATTACAAGTTACTACTGAGAGGGGTTTTTACTGTGTGGTGTATATTCTCAATATGAAGCTGACATAATACTGCAGGATCGTACTGGGAATGTGTGCCACAGGTCAGAGCATTTGCACTGCCTCCATTGTGAAAGAAAAGCAAAGGGAAAAGAAATGTGAGAGGAAGGAGGCAAAAAACCCATGCACGTTCCCCAGCCTTCCCTCTCTAAGTCTCAGCATATTGGCAGAAATTAATTTCTATAGGAAGGGAATTGCACTGTTTGCAAAGCAATCCTCGAGGATTTATTGATCTTTTAAAGAAAAAGTCATTAAGCAGGGCAAGGAAGATTTACAACAAGTATGGGAAAACAAAACAATCTCTTGGGATCTTCACCAGGCCGAAACAGGATTAGCTTTGTAGTTTCTGTAATCTTCCTCACAGAAGAATGCTAATTCGGTCTCATTTGCTAGAACAAATAAAAAATTAAAGATTTAGCACACCAGGTAATGAACCACCACAAACAACAAGCAGCTACTTGGAGCCTTAGAAGACAACTGATGACTTGTTGGTCAAAGCCAATTATAAATCACCAAACATTTCCTTCCTCCCACCACCTCATATTTTTACTGAAGAGATTCCAGTACTAAATGCACAGCTTTACTGTGTTAGAAGAACAAGAACCTGAATACATACAAGCACATAAACGAGAAGATTTGTTTAATGTAGGCTACAGAATTGTCTGTTTTGCATTCAGCGAATTAAGTGATTGTATTTCTAATGCCTTCAAATGCCAGAAAAATAATGAAGTGTAACTTTTTCTTTTTTGTGCATTTGTCTTTTAGGGAAGAAAAAGAAACTATTTTCTTCCATGAAATTAGCCTGTAGGTATAATAATCTAATACTTAGAGGATCAGTAGAATATTTTACAGATCACTTTACGCTCTCCCTTATGACCCATCAAAATATGTGTCTGAAGAAGTCAATTTTTTGCCCTGCTGATGATTAATTCATGAGGCTTCAACAATATGCAAAGTGAAAGACACAAATTGGCTTCTCCAGCAATACCTTCAAATACCTCTAATTATTCACAGGGGATATGGCAGAGCTAAAGGACCCACAAAGGTTCAGAGCAGTCACAATTCTTTCAACCCAGTAGGTCAAGGACTTCCTCTTCTAAAACAATAAGTCAGCAACATTACTAATTCAGAACAGAGACAAATCTGATGGAAAGCCTTCACAATTATTAAACATGGACTTCTTTAAGCTGCTGAGCCAATAAGTTCCACACTCATTTTTCAAATTAAACCTGAAGTTAATGAAGACTGCTTGTCTTGTTAAAAAAAAAAAAAAGGGGGGGGGGGGAGGGGAAAATAGCAGAAGGGGTTTTAGAATCTCAACTAGAAAACAGACAAGACTGTTAGCAATGAATCCCGAATGCTTTATTTACATACACCCTACTTCAAAAAAAAGAGCACTAACTTTGCTGACTAGATCATAGCTGTAACAATAACCACAACCACAGAGGCTTTTACAAGGATACCTATCTAATGCCCTCAAACTTGCAATTTCCTAACCTAACCCTGTTAAGTGTCAAAGATGATCAAATGCAGCTTAGAAAAAAACATCTGCCAGTCTCCAAATTTCCCAGGTTTTCTAACAGAAATTGTTTTATTCTAGAAAATCTTATCCAGACTAAATAATGGAAAAAGACATAATATGCCCATAGGAGGTTTCAAGTCTTTCTGCTGTAAGTGTACAAAATGATAAGTAATGGTACTTGCTATCATGCTTCACTTTGTTGATTTCCTATCTTCTACTTCTCATGGAAGGATTGCTAGAAGATTTTACTACAAAGACTCCATGCCTAACTTGGCTAATTTTCTGGTCAATACATGCTGGAACATATCAAAATTGTAGAATACCCTAAATTGTTTCCTTCTCTTAATAAGCCACCAAACTCTTTATACATATGCACAGAGCAGTCGGCTCTTCTCTAGCCTCAATGTTCTGATACTTGTTTTGAGATCACATTGAACCATTTCAGCACTGTAGCTACAGTCTCAGTTGCAAAGATGTGTACAAATATTTGTTAATGCCTTTTTGAATGTGGACAGCTCTGGATACTACCAACTCCAGTGTAACACTCAGTGCTGTCATCAGTCTCTCTTCTGAGCTGTATTGCCTTTTGCATCTTAGGTAGATGAGAATCATGCTTAAACGAAGCTTCTGCTAGCTAAACTACAAATCTATAAGGCTTAAGTGCCAATAATCCTCCTTCCTGAGGAATTACTTTTCTCCTATCTGAAAAGCTCTGGGTTAGTTTAAAAAAAGCCAAAGATGACAATGACTTTTGGGAAAGGCATACTGAGGCAGCTGTGGTACGTCCCAGAGAAAAGCAATGAAGAAACCCCTTCCCCTCATGTCATCAAAAAGTAAATGGCCAAATGGCAGCAGCTCTACTTTTTGAAACCTTTCACACTAAATGAGATAAAAGAGCCAAGAAATCCATAAGGAAAAAAAATACATGTATTATTTCTGGGAAGCAATCAGAGGACTTCAGGAGCAGGAGGGAGCTTTCTTTGACACCTCTGCACTTAGAGTGCAGGGAGTTATGCACCACAGCTAGGCAAAGCACAATCAAACGAGTGTGTGTCCATATCAAGGTGGAATGTGACTACATTCCCTGAAGTGCCCTGCTGCCACAAAGCCATTCAGCCACATTTATGAGAAGCCCAAAGGACATCCAGGGACCATCAATTTCATCATGACAGACATTTCTTTACATTATTACCAAATGACATGCCCTATATGCAATCCCCTGTCAAAATGTGAGAAATCAGGTCAAGCTTCAACTTCATGCTACGTTCAGCACATTCTCTAAATGACATTACTTGAGTTTTCCATGCAATCTGACTATCAGGAACCGTACGTTGCACACTAAAACAAATCTAATCTTGTTTCATTATTCCATATTGGTTCCACTACTTACATTACTAACCAAAACATCAGTTTAAATGTTACTGGTAAGACTAAGCAGGCATGGTACTAATAACCTATCTGCCAATCATTTAAAATTGCTCTCTGCAGAATTATAAGCATACCTTCTAAAATCACAATTTGTATTCTGAACATTTGGAGTGCAGATACCCACTGCCCTCAGTTCAATGATTTGAATGTATATTATCCTGCCTTCTTCCCAGAATAATTATCAAGTAGTGTAAAGAGCATCAGGAATACCATTTACTTTTCAGCAGGCTATCCAAACAATCAGCCAGTTATCAGTTTAATGACAACCACAATGAACAGCACCTTCAGTCAATATAAGTGTCCTCATACCTACTCCAGCTGCTTTCAGTGTGCTGTCTTCTTTCAAAATCAGTTTGTCATCATCTTCCAAACTCACTACTAGATCACCAGTCTACAAATTAGAGAACAGGAACACAAAGATAAGAATTTACTGTCTTTGTTCCAGTCCTGTTTTACAGTGCAGAGGTCTGCCTGCATTAAAACGTGTAAAAAGGAAGAAAGCAGCAGATAGCCATACCTTAGATTTGTGAGCTTGGTGAATAATCTTCATTGTATCTGAAAGAAAATACAGTGTTTTCCTAAAATAAGGCTTATTATGCAGGCAATGCTGGAAGTTATACTTAGGGAAGAAAAAAGTAACAAAGGGCTATGATTGAAAAATTCTTTATTATTAACAATTGTCTGAAATTGTCTTTATTACTAACAATTCAGTCTGAAAGAGAAAACCTTTTGGTTTCCCAATCTTGCAGCCAGTCTTACACCAGTCATTCCAGCATTAAGGCACTACGACTTAAGGATCTTCTGTCTACTGCTTGAATTACAATAACTAAGTAGCCATCCCAACTGCCAGCAAAATATACGTATGTCAAAATACCAGTTAGGGTGTTCTAACCAAACAGGTTTTACACATGCAATGGGGCAGGACAAACAGTATTAATGTGCTTGCACCTACTGCAGCTCAGTGGATAAGAAGCAAGTGATGAAGGCACAGCAACCTGATCACTTCAGATCATTCCTCAAGATCTTCCTTCCCATGAAGAAAGTACCCATGGTAGAAATTGTTGAGCAAGCTCTTTCTCCATTAACGTGCACAATTTCTCTTTTCTTTCTACACTCTCTTTGTATCTCTGTGATATTTTTATGCAGTGTTGAATTAAAGTGTTGCAACCAGACCAAGTAATCATGGCAAAAACATATAGTGATCATGAAACCATTCTACCACAGCAAATGCAATCCTCCAAGTTTTAAGCTTCTAGGTGTACTTTGCCACATTTCCTCTTTCACTGTTTTTGGCACAGTTGTTCTCTGATCTATTGACTATATTTTATTTACATCTTTACCACTGGCATCCAGTAAGTTATTGTGTTCTCATTTGAGTTATTAAATGCTTTCTCTAACTGTCACTGAGATGAAACTGCACTTTCTTCTCATCATAGCTGCATCCTCTCAATTGTTTTTGTTGTTTCATCTCAATTTAGTTCCACTCTATTGTGTTCCCAGCTTTTTCTTCTTTTTTTTTTTTTTTTTTTTTTATCTTGTAGTGGATCCTTCATGGCAGTAAATATGAAGTGGCCTTCTGTGTCAGAAATATCACCCATACTGTTCCATATTTATGGGAGGAAAAAGTGGAGAAGCTGTCAATGGGACAAGATGGCACTCAGGCCAGCATCATCAGCAAAAAGGAGGTAATGTTGGGGTGGAAAGTTGAGAAGATGGCCTAGAATTCTTCTCAGTCTAATGATGTGTAACTTCTACTAGCACTGTTCATGCAGAAGTCTTCCTGCCCTTTCATCACCAAAATACAATAGAGATAATAGAACACACAAGAGATGCCAAAAATCAAGAACCTGGAGGTATGCTTCACAGCCTATGGGGAAGGTGAGGAACTCGGGCTTTTTTTTGTGAAAATTTCAGCATAGCTGGTACCATCCCACAGAAATAGGCCCTCTCCAACTTGCCTAACAGGTTGTGAAGTTCTGTGATGTTTTTTATCCACATTATGCACAGTCCTATGCAACACAATCAGGTGCTCAGCCACAACATTTGCTCTGGGCAAAACTAAAAGTGAAGAAAGAACAAACAGCAGGGACAGGCAGCATCAGGCATGTAACTGCAGTCCTAGATGGACTCCCTCATCCATGCAAAGCAAGAGATATCGGGGGGAGGAAGGGCACCTCCAAATTCAAGCTATTAGGACATCAAGTATTACATTAAAAACAATGATCTTCAATTCCTTGTTGCTGACAATTGCAAATCTTAATCCCTAACTTCTTCTGTTTCCATCTCACGCCATCAGCTATCAGAATGACATGCTTGGCTTTTTTTTTAATAGGCCAATAGAGTCAACTGCTATTTGCATGTATTAAGTTGGTTTCTCAGTCAGTTTTTAAAATCACTGAAGAGAAAGAAGCTTGTAACTCCAGAACATGGGAGACAGGTGATCACTTGTAACAAACCTCCAAGGGAACTTACAGAATTGTTGAACTGAGGAGAAGGTATGTGACTGACATCTGAGTTACCACGCTCCAAGATTTGAGATAATTTAGTTTATTTTGAAAGTATGTTCCATCCCAAATTGATGATAGCACACAATCATGCAAAACTTCATACAAAGAAACACAAACATTGTTTCACATTAGAAGATAGACTGAGCCTAAATTTGATACCAGGCTATTTCACTCTGCCAGCTGTTATTTAAGAGCTTTCTTATCTACTTTGAGTGATGTTCCCCTGCTCCTCTCATATTATGTAAATTATTTACGAATATGAGTTTTATGCATTTTCCTTCTACTGCCATAAGCTCCTGCTTCAGGATCCTTTTTGATCTCACAATTAGTAAAAACATACCCAAATACATATGCACAAATGGAACTACAGTTTCAAAGTGTTTGAGGTCACAAGCTGTTCTGTAAAGTAAAAATAGAGCTGAAAGGTGCTTATAAAAGTAATAAAAATATTAATATCAAAAAATATTGCTACCTATTAGCAAAGAACATACAGCATGCAGCCTAATTCAAAGATAAATACAGAAGCTCAAAACAATGGTCAGGTTCTTCAGATCCTGGAGGTATAATCATCCCAACTACAAGAGCTGCAAATATAGGCAGGCACTGCAACCAGCATGATTATGCTAAAATAGCAGTCTCCTAAACTGTCTAAATTGGTATGAAAGATTACAGCTGCATTTTGCTAGAGATAAATTAAGAAAAAATACCCACCGTATTTGTAAGCTTTAAAAGGAGGAGGAAGACCTGTTCTTGAAGGCACATCTGTTAAAGAAAATCACAAAGAATGAAGTTATCTTCCTATATTTCTAGTAATGCATGTGAGTGCATTGCATACACCCTGGACATCAAAATAAATCCTCGGCACAGGAGAGTCGTTAGAGTATTAAATACTGAAATATAGCCTTTGGCTCAGATTCTGCAGTTAGTCCGTATTGGCTTAACTTCACTCGAGCATGAAGTCCCTCTGAACTGAATGATCCATGCAGACAGCAATTCAGTGCAATTAGGTTGTGATCACAGGAGTCTGATCCTTCAGAAATCTCCCAGAAACATCCTGTTAATGGTTCGCATGGTTCAAAGTTCAGCATCTCTCACTATCTTACACTCCAGCATCCTAACAACTATCATTACTAACTGAATTGTTCAGGAAACACAGCTCTGCTAACCAGTCACAGCAAGGAAGCCAAACAGTAGAAAATAACTCTTTAGATACATACAATACACAGCCTCCCTGGTGCCAGTGTCCCCAGCGACATCTAGGTTTTTACCCAGGCCTTGTGAGGCCCAGCTGCTATCAGTTACTTGGCAACAATGCGGCTGAAAGCAAAAATCCAGTTTAGAAACTTATCTCAAACTCCTCCTTCAAAACAGATTACAGAAAAGGAAGGAAACATGGATTTTGGACCAGAAACAGTAATACCCATCTGTGAAACACAGCTGGCACCAGTTTTGTCTCAACAATGAATTACAATACCGCACACATCAAAAGCAAGAAGTTTTTGTGTGTGTGTGTGTTTTTTAATTTTCTTTTTCATAACTGCAGCTGTACCATATGCTCTGAAAGTGCTTGTCGTTCTCTAAAAGCATCCTAAGATCTAGCCATGCCAATCACTGTCTACTAGAAAGGAAGTTGCTGAAAACACAGTACAGCTGTGACGCTCAGGGCAATATCCCAGAAGTTGCTCAAATGCAATCAGTTGCAACAGTTCCAGACTTGTTTAAGCTGACATCATGCAAAATAAATAAATGAATCAAAGCCTGTTGATCTCCACACTTTGAATGTCTCAATTTAGATGTGAAGAAATATACCTGCAAGATTAGTTAACACCCTAACTAATGAGTTGCTACGTGGGCTGGTCTGCATCTATTACTCTTTAGATACACTGTCACTTTCAGACAGGCTCTGGAAACATAATGTCCATAGAGGAGTAAATCTGTACCACAAAGCTCAAGACGAGGACAGAAACTCAGAAGCGAGCAGGCAGATCTCACAGTGTCAAAAACAATTTTTCACAATCCCCTCTCCTTTCACAAATAGCAAACAGATTTTCATTCCCACATTCCACACAGTGGTGCAACTCCTATGGATCAAAAGCTCCTTAAAATCTATTTATTTCCCCCAGTTAATTTCTGAATAGCTGCCTGACAGCACCGCCCAAGGAGCCCGAGGCATGGAGCCAAGTGTAGCAATGCCCTTGTCTGGCAGTCAAAAAGGATGGAGCACTGGGAGGATTTAGGCAGACATAGCAGTGCACTCAAATGCAGGCATGGCACAGTGGAAGCTCTCATTAGGGGCAGACCTCTCATCCAAGGGAGGAGAGCACAGGGGACAAAATACAAATCTGGCATCTCTTCCAAAGCCACAGAATTCCCACATTTTTTTCCACTTTGCTTTCTAGTATAGGGTTGACAACAAAAAGGACAAGCAAATAAATAACAATCCCTTACCCTTCTGCACAAAAGCAATGAACTGCTTCACTGTCTGATCCAAGTTAACTCCATGATAAACCACAGGCCTGAAATTCCGGTGCTCAAAGGAGCGAACAAGGCGAACTGTGATGGTTGAGCTTTCTGCTGACATGAGAATTAATTTTAAATAACCTGGAAAACATCAAAGAGAGGAACTATTGACTTTCCTCTGTGCATGGGCACAGCTGGAAAACAAGGTGCAGGTAAGCCTCAGTGATAGACTCACACACATGAGGAGACTTTTCATAGCAGAGTGCCTCTCAGGGCTTTGTTTTCAGTAGTTCTACAGAAGCAGCAATGGAATCTCAAGCAGTTACCCAGGGTTTTATTGGCCCTGCAAGTGAAGCAGCCCATGTGTGCACTGTGTACTGCGGCACCCGACTCTGCTAAGCAGACAAGAATGTTATGGATAAATGCAAGTGATCAATTTGTCGTTTGGGTGATTTTACCTGCCGTACCCTTGTGCTCTAAAAGAACGTACTGGTGCGATCAAAAGCAAACCTTTTTAAATGTATTTATGTTGTACATTAATATCCCAAAAAGATCCCCGGGCTGTTACACAATGCTCCTTCTCACCTCCTTTCAGGGACTGAAAACTCCCCTCCACTTACATGCAAATAATTCTCATGGGATACTAGCAGAATTCTACTAGCAGAATTAATGGGGTTAATTCGTAATGACATGAATGGAGAACGGCTCCACGTGCTTCACACTCCTTTGATAGAGAGCAGAATTTTCAACTGCTCTGTTTTACCAGCCCAAGCCCCTCTTCAAACAAGCCCACCCCCAGCCTCCCCTCACGCACCCAGGGACAAATGGCGACTGCCCCACACCCCGGAAGAGGAGCGTGAGCAGCTCCCAACCTTACCGCAAGGCCGCAGCCGTTACTTCCGGGTTTCGCCCTCCGCCCCGCCCCCTTGCGCAGTCTCACCAATCACATCTGACGGGTGATACGGATCCTGAACAAACCGAGCCGCGGGATTGGCTGCGATGCGCCCCGTCCCCGCCCCTCAATCCTGGCCGCCTCGTTGTCGGGCAATGTCCAAGCCCCGTGCCGAGGTGGGCAGACTCCCCATAGCTCTCCCATGCGGCGCTGCTTTTCCATTGGTTCTTTCCCCGAATTTTCCCCTCCCCCCGCGAGCGCCGATTGGCGCGTTGTTAGCCGCGGCGCCGGGATTGGCCAGCGGGCTCGGTGGCGAGGGCTGAGGCGGCAGAGCGGCCGGGGCGGTGCGGCAGAGTTGCGGAGCGCGGTGTTAGGGGTTCGTCGCCATGTCTGAGGTAGGGGCGGCGGCGGCGGGGCCGCGGGGCCGCGGGGCGGGCGTCCCTTTCTTCCTTCTCGGTGCTGACCCACGTCCTGCTATGGGGCCTTTTCCCCCAGGCCGCGTTCCAGAAGGCAGCTGAGGAGGTGAAGCAGCTCAAGTCGCAGCCTACGGACCAGGAGATGCTCGACGTGTACAGCCATTACAAGCAGGCCACGGTGGGCGACGTGAACACGGGTACGTGCTGCGGGATTGCTGGGCACCTCCGTCAGTGGGGGGCTGCTAGGGCAGGGATGCTGCTCAGTGTGAGCACGTTTGGTCAGGTGTGGGCAGCACTAGGAAGAGTGATAAACTAGAGCGCTAAAAGTAGTACTGGAAAACTAAAGCAGGAAAATAACCCGGGATGCGTACAGGAGAAGGAATACTTAGAAAAGCTGCAGTCAAATATCAAGCTGCAATCAAATATCATGGAAGAACTGCAGCAGAAATACTTCTGCAGAAGCGCTGTGCCAAATCCCTGCTGCTGCTTGTGATGCCACTAAAGCTCAGACTGTGACCAGCATTTAGAATGAACCCTGTCTTTAGTGACCTTGTGTAGCACTTGAGAAACCAGAGCTAGGAAGAAAAGGGGTGTTGCGATGGGGCTCTGGCCTCCTGAACTGGTTGTTTCCGAAGGTTTCTGAGTGTTGACTGAATCCAGAGCAGGCAAGGAAATGTACTGGAAATGATAAGTGTGGGTGTATGTAGTTGTTTATTCCCCCTATGACAGACAGCACTGGGGGGTGAAAGAACTGAGCTTGATTTCAAGATGTAATCCTTTTGTCATGGTTGGAGCTCAGTGTTTTAGTTTACCAAAGTGAAGTGGTGCTGTAGAGCTGTTAATGTACCAGCATGTCTGTAAGTGGTTGCATTGCAGTGAAGCAATAAGCAATAGCTGAGTTGTCTGGGAAAGCAATCTAAGAGTAAGCTGATAGGTTTTTGTGCTGGAGAGAAGTACAGCTGCCAGCTATTTCTGTGCACAGCACAAAAGGACCTCTGTGGCTAATGGTTAGGCTACTTACCAGTGCTGTTTAATTGATAATCTCAGGAACTGTATTTATTGAGACAGAGGAAGTGAAAACAGAATAGATGTCAAATGAAGACTGATCATATACACATCCACACCTAACCCTGTTCTCTGTTTGGCTACAGTGTGGCTTGTAATGAGATGAGTTAGAATTCAGTGCCTATACTCATAGGATGACAGAACAAAAGGAAGTACTTCGTTAGAAACATACTATTAACTTGATGATAAGATGTTCTAAGCTTTATATTACTGGCTTTTGATTTCTTGTCTTTGGGCATTTCATGACCTAAGGACATTTCTGCTTCACTTTAGAGCTGATGTTCTTTAATCAGCTTGTTTTTATGCTGCAGTATTCTTTTCAAAAAGTGCAGTGAGAGACCAAATGGCACCATTTGATGCTCTTCTGTTCAGATGCTGCTGTCTTAAAGGAATTTGACAGAGAGCTTTTCTACTGCTACCAGTAGCATGTGTGCTTCTGACTGCAGGTTAGAAAGGGGTAGCTGCTAAGGTGAACCAGAGTATTTTATCATGGTTAAGAACTAAATAGGCTTCAGGAAAAGAGTCAGAATTATCTACAGCCAGGCCACGCAAACTAACTGTGCTGCTTATCCTTTCTCCTAGATCGCCCTGGTATGCTTGACTTCAAAGGCAAAGCAAAGTGGGATGCCTGGAATGCGTTGAAAGGTAAGTGTCTACTTAAAAATTAAAAGTGAATAAATAAAACTAAGGGAAACTACTCAGAGAACCACATGTGGTTCAGCAAGAAATCAAATGGTGTTGCCTTGTAGGAGCTTTAGGAGTATAAAATCATAATTCTTATTCTCTGCAAGGGAGAAATAGTTCTGAAAAATGTAGGCTGTCTATCAGAAGAAGATTTAAGATATAAGTTGCCCAGCTGGATGAAAATGTTACACAAAGGCAAACTGTAGCAGCAGCAGAAACTTAAATCTCCTTTCTGAGTCCCAGCCTAGCAGTACCTCACAGTGATCTGCTCCTCCAGTTCCTTCCAGTTGTTCTTTTTCTTCTAGAGTTTTTCTAATCAGAATATCTGGGATATTTGCTGAGGAGCATAACAAGGAGTCTAAGCTATGAAAATGTGGTTTTTCTAGTGTTTCAACCAAGCCAGCATACATCTAAATGCAGTCTGAGTTGTTTGAATAGCTTTCCTACAGTAAATGGGAACTGAGTTAATAGAGTTAAAGCACTGTCTAGTTGTTGTCCATACAAATATAGCTTTGCTGTAAAACCGTTGAGCAATTTTGTTCAAAACTTTGATACTGGATTCATAGCCAAGTGACCCTATTAAGCTTCTCTGCTATGCTGTGAAGTAGTATAGCAGGGAGCTGTGACTTGCATGTAAATACTATCCTAATGCTGAAGGCTGTTTTAATTCCTAACTCAGAACTGAGTGACTCTACGCTTGTGGCAGGTACTTTAACAAAGGCTCATGGATCTTTTATGTAATGCGATTGTACAGGTGCAGGCTGAGATACTGAAAAAGATGCCTGCTAAGGGAGTTATTCTATTGCTGATCATGTTTCTTCTGTCCAGCTACAGTAGGGAAATGTTTTATTGAATGTGGAGAACTTGGCAGTGATTCTAGCTGAGAGAAAGGCAAAACAGATGCGCTGCAGTAAGTAACACGTCAGAAAGTTGTTCCTTTAATAGTGACTTGAGAATGCATATGTAAATCAGCAACATCCATATAGAAGGGAGTCAAAACTGAAAAATGTTCAAAGATCTATCTCTGAATAGTCAACAGAACAGTGCATAAGGGAGCATTAAAATTGTCTGATCAGGCAAATAAACAGTGATGAATATAGCATGGATGTATTTGTAGATGAGCAGGCTCATGAATCTTGCAGGGTAGAGGAACAGGAAGAACAGCTGTTGTGAATCAAACTCTGAGTTGATGAAGCGGAGACACTGTTGTCACCAGGCTTCAGTTGTCTCTGCATTTATGTGTCCCTGCTCAAAGAAAAGCTGCCTCGGGGCATTTTGTTGAGCCACTGTATGTATTCTGACTGCTTCCTCTGTTTGTCTTTCAGGAATGTCCAAAGAAGATGCAATGAAAGCTTATGTAGCAAAAGTGGAAGAGCTAAAGGGCAAATATGGTATCTGAGGACTGGATAGAGCATCTGTTTGCACATCTGAAACATGCCTTATTTCTAATACTGTGGAAAACTATGATTTATGATGCTGATGGTTTTAAATATGAAGTATACTGTAGCCTGTTCTTGTGATGATTGTAGTTCAGGGGGAGGTCACATACCTGTGTAATGTACTGACACCATTTGAATTTTGAGAACAAAACAATCTGGAACTCATTAAAGTGCATTTGATACTTTAGCTGTTGTGATGGTCGTCCCCTAGGAATTATTCTGAGCTCATTCACGAGTGGCTGTGTCACAGCTTTTAAACGCTAAGGTTAAAGCGGTGGTTAGCGCTCACCTCTCCAGTCGTGCCGCCAGGGGGCCTTAGTAATCTGTTTCACTTGTATCCAAACCAAACCGGTGATGTTAGGTGCTGCTTTGGGAATTTCTTGTGGATAAATTGGAACTGACAAAAGCTGGAGCACAGAGATTACCACTGAGGCTGTGTCTGGTGCTTTGTATGCTTAGAACACGGTGCTTGGTCGTTGTTGCCTGAGGTGTTCAGATTGATTCAACAACTGCCAAATGATCTTCCATACAGTGCTTCTTGGAGATGTTATCCCTGAACAGCAGTGTTAGATATGGCAGATTCTCAGGATCTGAACACAAAGCGTCCTCTGTGAAAGAAAGAGTTCTGCAGACAGATGAGCTGTTGATACCCCCTATGCCTTACCACTGTAGATACAGAGCTTTGGTGTTGCCATGTACTGCAGCTACAGTGAGGGGTGAATCACTGGTTTAACACTTACATGGCTCTTCATGAAAAACTTGAAAGTCAGCAGAAGTTTACGAAGCCCACAGTTGTAACAATCTGAAATAGCTCCTTAGCTAGTCTGTCTGCATAGCATGACCTGGTGCAGTTGCAGCTGTCAGAAAGCGTGCTTAAAATGTGACACTGAACCAGCTTAGCATAGGGCATGTGAGAATGAAGTATCCACCTTGTACAGGAATAAGGCATACTAATTGCTGCTGTCCTGAATAACATCAGAATGGATGAAGATTTGAAATAATAGCACCTTCTGGAAAGCGACTGGGTTTGTTCTGTGTTCTCCTGAGGATCACTCACTTGAATTCCTGTTGTTGGTTTGCTTTTTTTTTTTCCCCTCGGTAAGTGGTATAAACGTTTTGGAGATTTCAACTTCCTCTTGCAGCCTCTGTTAGTTACTTGACATAAGTGAAATATTCACCTTGCAAAACACAGGTGAAAGCAGACATTCAGCAGAAGGGATTCTTAGCTCCTTGCCAACCCTGAATTTCACAGCAGGCTCTGTTTGCAGCTGCATTTTGTCATGCTGGCTAGCAGTGGAAGATTGTGCCAGCTTGTAGTAGAATGCAACTCTCAGTGGCAAATGCTTCCACTTCTGCTCGTTTGCTGGCAGCTTATGTACTTGAACATGCTTTGCCAACATGCTTTCTATCAAAACTAGGATTGATTTTTCAGAAACACCTGAGTTTTGAGGACAGTAACATCAGTGGTCTTCATATCTAGTCTGCCCATTGGTAATCAGCTGTACAACTCAGAAGCTGCAGAGTATGAGTTGTTACAGAAGCAAGAGCTCTGCAGTAAGAGGTGGAAGGTACTGATGACTGTAAGCAGTGTTGGGATGAGAAGCAGCACACAAATATTGATTGCGTGGCCTTTAACTGGAGAAATCGTTACTGAATGAAGCGCTGAGTGCTGTTTGTGAGCTGACCTCCTGCAGGCGCTCTCTCTCCAGGAATGCTGCATTGTTTACGGATGCTACAGCTTGAAAAAGGCTGTGAACTCAATCAAGGTGCTGGTGGTCTGGCAGCAGGGTGAATGTCTTGTAAACATGTGGGCTGTGTGGCTATTCTGAATATATTGCTGACTTATAGGCTGCACAGTGTGTGCTGGATGGGGGGGAGTGAGGTACAATGCCTTGGCAGTAGCAATGCCACAGCAGGAATGGTCTCAGGACATCTGAAGGCAAATTTGAAGGTAGAGGTAATTGCTTTTATTAATCTAAAACAGTGGTAAAAATAGACAACCGTAAAGGAATACAGCCCTTGATATTGAAACAGAAGCAGCAGCAAGTCTCAAACCAAAATATAATTTCAGAATCACTGCTCTGCCTCAAATAAGACATGCTTGGAGGAGCAGATGTTTCTGGGCAGTGATGCGAAACAGGAGGTTGTTCTGTACCCATTCAGGGAGTTGCTGCTATTTCATCTGTGTTAGATGAAAGAAAGGACAGCAACACCCCAATCCTTGCTGTGTTTGTGGAAGGAAAAGACATGCTCTGGAACAAGCCTAACACGCCACAGGTCAGAGGCCAGCTGGCATACATGCTCTCAGATCTGCTTTGCTGAGTTTGCAGTGCGTGCAGAACGGAATCTGGACTTTGGATAAGGCAATAATAAATGCTAACTTGCGTGTGTGATAAGACTTCTGTCTATTGCACTTCTACTGTTAGTTCTTGCATAGACTGGTACCCAGTGCAATTAAAGAAGCTATAGGGGGGTGTTTGTTTTCCACATTGTTTTTTTTCTCATGGGTTTTGCTTGCTCTTACCAAAAACTTGAAGGTGCAATCCTCCTTCTGTAGCTCTAACAAATCCCTATCATTATGCTGCTTTAGGTTCACAACAAATTGTTCCATACCAAGAAGCTGTTTCCTATTTGATTAAAAGGCAGTCTGAGGGGAACTGCAGAACGTGACCATCTTTCTATCAAAATTCTCCAGTCCTAATCTGGAGTGACCATGTTTCCTAATACCACTGTTTTAACCTTTCAACTTATTTCACCCCGATGATAGTGCTTGCTAAGAATAAGTGACAATTGTGTTTGCTGTTTAAAATACAGGCATCTATCTGCAATGCCAGTTTGAAGTGAGTGAGCATCTGAGCTGTGCAGTGCATGCTGGTGGGATTGATTATTAATGGAAGGCTTGGATATGTTTCTGAATGCCACAGCTAATTCCAGAAGTTACTCTGTCTTGCAAGTTGTCAGTGCTGTGAACTAAGACGAGTTGATATCACATAGACACAGCATGTTTGAAAGAGTCCAGTAATAAACTAGGAAGGGTAGAAGTTGATAGAACAGAAATACAGCAAAAGAAGACTGATTTTTTTTTTTTTCCCTCTCATTCACAAGTATAAGCACCTTTAAACTCAGATAAGTGCTCTATAGATTAACTAGTATTCAGCTGTTGACTTGAGCAAATAATGTCTCTCCACCCTAGGTGTGAGTCTGTCTCCTTTACAAAATGAGCTTATATTTCCACTGGAAGGGGCATATCTGTCAAAACTGAAACACAACATGGGTGGTTTTCTAGAATAGTAACATAGAGCTTTTGTGTGAAGCGTCACTGCAGTAGTATTTTAGCTTTCATTTCCTTTTCTGTCTGTGGCTTCAGGATGTTTGTTTGTTCCCAGTGCTTGTACATTTATTTGTCAAGGTCTGGCCCTCTTGCCACTCGGTAGAACTGATTCATCTCTTAACAACCATGTTGCCATCCAGTTTTAGAGCAATCCTTTGCTCTATCAAGAGTACATGACAGTGTACAGAGGGGTTTTGAAAACTTCAGTGTGTCCTGCCTCTGTTTGCAAACCTACCAATACGTGAGACTGTTCACAAAAATGGAGAAGCTGTTGAAAAGTTTGATGTGGTCAATAAGCATGGGCCTGAGGAGAAGACACCTTGCAGTCCTGGTACCTCTGGTCCAAATACTTGAGCTCAGTAAGTCTATGAAAGCAGTGATATGAAAAACAGCCTGAACACAGAATCGGTGGCTCAGCAGCTCCCTTCTGCAATAGTACTTGTGTTAGCAAAGATTATTGTAGCTCCAACTACTGCCACTGCAGTGAGAAGTTCCTCATTGTCGTGAAGCCCAAAGTCCTGACAAATTGGGATGTTGTATAATCTCTGCCCATTGGATTCTAAGTCGCACATTTTTTTCTGTTTGCAAGTCTGGATTGCCTCGGGCAGGTAATTCCACACCCTGACAAGCATCAAAATGACACTGCTTAGCTGCCATAGCCAGAGACACCTTGCTCATCTCCACCCAAGAGTGCAAGACATGGTGTTCCCCACATAGCAGTGCTGGGAGGAGAAGGCACGCTGCTTTTCTGAATTGAGCTCTGAATCAGAAACGTATGCCCACTACTTCAGTGTACTTGGCATTTATAACTTTGACTATGTAGCTGCAGTGAATTTGCAATGTGTCCTAAGCCAGCGAGTTCTTGGTGGTCACGAGAAAGAGCTGAGCCTTGATGTTGAGTCTCTGTAGTGCAATGCTGCAGTAGGTCCAATAACCAATGAAAATGAGAAAAACTTTTTTGTTCCAGAATACAAAATGTACTCCTTTAAGTCTGTCCTTCTCTTTAAAGTTTCTCCTCTCACTTTTAGATAGATTTAGTCTGGGAGGGATCTGGGAGTCGCTGTGACGGGCAGCACATTTACAACGTTTTTCTGCAAGTTACGAGAACCTCAACAGCTGCTGCATCATTTGGATGAACGATCCCAAAGCTCTGCAGCGGGATATCGGCGATGCGTGATGCCCCCGGCTGGCTGTGTGCAGTAAGGACGTTGGCAGCAGGGAGGCGCGCAGCCAAGAGGCAAAGCGAAACCATCTGGCCCAGGAGCCATCTCCTCTTTACACGCTTCACTACGTCCCTGTGCGTGTGAGGGCTGCCCTGTCAGCTGCAGGGATTTGCAGCCATGTGAGGAAAACCGTGAGCTGAAGCGTTTGTGACAAGGGGTTGGTGTGAGCTGTAGGGCCCTGGTACAGCCCCAAACCTCCTTCTGTTACATCCATCGCCTGGGGCACGTTTTGCTGAGTATAACTGCTGAGTTCTCTGAAGCTGCCAGACTCGAGAACTTCCTGCCAGCAACTAGCTGACTTGTTACCCCATTCCAGAAGCTGGTTTTGGGTAGAACCCAGCCTGAGCTGGACACAGCTTCTTGAGCTTGTATTTTCTATCTACTGGAAGGAAAAAAGAAAAAAAAAAAAACCAAAAACACAATGAGGCAAGACAACTTCTTCCTCCTCATAAAACTCCCTCTGTTCACATTTTTGGGCAGATGTGAAGGAAATCATCTTGTCTTTCATACAGCCCTTGGCATCTCCCAAAGGGCCAGCCCACAAAGTGCCGAGGATCAATTTGTCTCCAAGATCAGCTCTATTTCTGGCTGGGAGCTCACCTTGAGATAGCCATATGATAGAAACAAAGATAG